TAACATCTTTGCTCTTCTGCTGGTGGTGTGTGGCCTGGTATACTTTTGCAGGAAAAGTCTCTTCTGCTTTTTTTTTTTTAATTCTTTCCCCCATTTTATTTATTACACTTCTTTACATCCTTACATCGTTGTTCCCTTTTGGACAGCATTTAGTCCATCCCTCAGCTGCAGCTTCCAGATCCCCAGCCACCACCGGAGCCCCTTGACCCACCACTGTGGTTCCTGTGCTTTTGTTTCATCATTTCACGCAAATGTGCTGACTCCCTACTACGTGCTGAGTGCATGGTCAGGCAGGGCGAAAACAGGCCAGGCGTGAGCTAGGCTGCCAGGGAGACACAGGACGGGGGAGCTGGCCTCGGGAGGGCAGGCCGGCCCTGTCATTTCCTGACTGACCATGTCACCTTGGGCAGGTGGCTTATCCTCTCTGGGCTTCAGTTTCCACAATTGTCAGGTGGGAATAAATGATATCATCATCACTCATTTCTAACTTCACTGGCTTTTGTGACAATTCAATGAGACAATGGGAAAAAGCACTTAGCCGTACGTCAGGCATCATGAAAGTGATAAATTCTCCCCCAATGCTAGTTCTCACGATTATTATTAACTACTGATGTATTTTTATAAGACTTGACTTCTGCTCTGGGCCCTGCTGCTGGCTACGCAGGGAGACCTGGGGCAAGTTTTAAACTCTCCAGGATTCGCCTATCAAGTGAAGGAGCTGAACTATAATCCCCGAGAATTCCAAAAGTCTTCGGTTTTATGAAACGTGCAAAGGCAAATTCCCACTTAGCACCCCATAGCATTTCAGGTTTACACCCTCAGACTTGAATTAACAATCCAGTAGCTCCCTGACACCTGGCAGCACTGGCATCGTCAGACTGAGGCAGCTCAGAGGCGAGACGGTCTCCGTCGCCAGCTCACCTTCCATCACCAGCTCTCGGCAAACGGGAGTGGCGTGTCCACTTTCCAACAATGTGGACTGTGAAACAGCCTCCAGGGCTTGAGTCTAATTTGAGCTTCACTCCTCTGGGAGTCTCTGGGTCCAGGAAATCATACTGTAAATCGTGCCAACTGGATCTATACAAAACATTGGATTTCATTGGTTTGAGTTTAGAGAGAACAAGGGTTGTAGTGAAATAATCCTTGTGGTGGACAGCAAACTGTTCAGCGTTCTCACAGGGCTGCCTTCTTGGGGCTTTTGAGCAACAGAACTTCCCTTTTCAAAGGAGAAAAATAAGAACAGCCTAAAGTGAATAGCAGTTTCCTTCATATATACAGAGAAACAGTAGGAAATAGATGGAAGAGGTCTATCTCCCCCATATCCAATGCCTGGCATACTGTGGGTGCTTGAAAAAAAAATGTGAATGACTGTAATAACTGTTCATTAATAGTTTCACTGTCCCATCGTATCATTTTGAAGTATGGGGCCAGTGGTGTCCAGCTAACCAGTACTCTGGCCAGATGCCGTTGAGATGTTCGGTGGGCCTGGCCCTTGATCACTGGGTGATCAAGGTGGCCGTGAGAGCATGAGCTGCGTGTATGGGAGTCCAGTGTCTGTTCTTACTGGTCATGGCTCCTGGACAAGTCCCTTAACCCTGCCATGCTCAGCCCCAGAAGTCCTCACTTACCATCCAGAAGTTCTTGGCAACTGCGACTTTAAGCAAAACAGCCTGGACTGATTTTGGTCCTTGAAGACCCTGGGGTCTTTGCATTGGCTTCCTTTCTACCCCTCAGCGTTGAGATGAAATGACCTTGCGTGGATGATGCTATGCAAGGTCCTGAGGCTGTGTTCCTGTCTGTAAAGCGGGGCCCACTGTGGCGTCCAACCCGTGTGAGCTGCTGGCCGCTCGGAGGCATTTACTCAACCTCCCTGATGCTGCTCTTAATACAGGCGGAGTAAATGTGTCTGTGCCTACTCGCTGGCCTCCCATTCCTTGCCAGCCACTCAGTAAGTACCCAGCGCTGTCACATGGCTATGAAGAGCCCAGTAGGGCTGTATGAGCTTGGCCATTGTCTACCCACATGGCCTGGCCTGGCCAGGTTGGATAGACCTGCAAGTTCCTGCAGTCAAGGGGGGTCCAGAGGTTGTCGCCTTCCTTCACGTGGGAAGAGTTGCATGTCGCGCAGTGCTGGCTTGCCGTGAGTCCTCCATAAAAGGTGGGTTGTTATCATTCCCACAAAGCACACAAGGCCCCTTTGGCTTCTGTGGCCTGAGGAGCCACACAGGTTCACCCGGCGCCCGGTGAGTCGGGGCAGGGCTGGAGGGGCTGCGGGAGGGCAGACGGCCTTGGGGAGGGGCCCAGGTTGCAGGCCCACACGGTCAAAGCGTTGTAAAGGCCTTGTATTAGAAAAATAAACCAATTAAATAATACTGCTCCCATAAAAGCTGACTTTAATGGAACCCATGGTGGGGTTTTCACGGCGGCGGTCCGGGGGCCGTGGGCCACGCGGAGTCTGTCTGCCGCCATGGGGAGGGCTTAATCTTGCACAGCGTGGGTATAATTCTACACGTTTTATGGCTGTTTTTTCTCCTCCGAAGTGTTGCTATGTCATTGTGCACCGAGGGTGACTTGCGTGCATTTAACAGTTTACCTCGTTTTGGGTGGAAATGAAAAATGAAGTCATAAATTAAAGAAAAACACAGCGTGGATTTTTTCTCTCTTCCATGGGCAGCCATGGAGGAACAAAGAACTAGTGTTTCTGGGTCCAGCCTAATCAAATTCTAATGGCTTTTAAGTGTGGGTCTTTGCCCGATGGCCCCCCTCCCCTTCGGGGCGCGGAGGGCGTGTTTGGGGCTTGTCTGTCTCCCCTGGGACTAGCTGGGGCTGTTCTTTAGGGCAGGGGTCAGCTACAGTCTGAGGGCCAAATCCGGCCTGCTGCTTGTTTCTGTGAAATGCCAGGGGGTGGGGGTGGGAGTGGGGTGGGGAATATGAAAAGAAGGATAATATTCCTGGCACAAGAGAATTCCAAGGAATTCTGACTTGGGTGTCGCCCATTGGCAGGCTGGCATGCAGCCACGCACCTTCATTTCCTTAGTGTCTGTGGCCATGTCCACGCTGCCGTGACTGGGCTGAGAAGTGACCACAGAGGCCGCCTGATGCAAAAGCCAAGGACCATCTGGCCCTTTACAGAGAAAGTTTGCTGACCCTGCTCTAGGAAGTGAAGAAGGGGAGAGAAGCGTGGCCTTGAGTTTCCTGGAACAGGCCTGACTCTCAGGGCTTCCCTGTGGCCCACTCTGACAGGTCAGAGAAGAGGACTGAAGGGAGCTGACCCCCAGGCGGCCTTGTACAAGTAGTCGGTGCCTGGTGGAGACGGCTCCCTTTTCTGACCTGAGTTTGTCCCCCTTGGCTGGCCCTCCCTGCCTTTCGGAACTGAGGGCCTTTCCCATCAGAGAAGCACCAAGTCCTCCTGGTGACTCCCCCTCCACCCACATGATGGCTTCCTCCCAGGGGGCAGACGATTCATGTCATAAATTATGTACAAATATAGTTGAGGATCTGGAATAGCTTTAGTCATTTATACTTTTTTTTTTTTTTGCCCGTACCAGTTAAGGTTGTGCATTTAGTAGTGACTCATTTAATTCTCACAACCGTGGGGGCCTCTGGTCACCCCCATTTTACAGACAGTAGGCAAAGGGTGGCCTTTGCCTCCTGTCCTCCTGCCACACAGCCCATCTCTACTGGAGCCGGGAGTCAGACCCCGGAGGTCTGCCCCAGGGGAGGTCCTGCTGCCCTGTACAGGTGGGGTTCTCTGGGCTTGCGAGGTAGCTGCTTCTGTGTTCTGCCCATGTCTCTGCCTTTTCATTCCACAAGGAAATTGCTGTCTCCATGAGAGGGAGTGCCAGCTCATTCACCTCTCTCCCATACCTTCCTCTCTGTCTACCTCCTTCTTTCCTCCCTCCCCCCTCCCTGGGGATGCTTGAGAACAAGAAGAATGAAAAAAGAAAGAATTCATTTTTGTTTAAAAATCACTCCCGGTGTCCTCAATACTGCTGGTTTTGAGAGGTTCACTGAGTTCCGCTTCTGGTGTTCCGCTCGTGAGTGCGGTCACTGTCTGGAACCATCAACCCTTGTCTTTTCTGTCTCGAGCTGATATTTGAAGGAAATGTAATTCTGTTTGCAAGAGGCACCTGTCTTGTCCAGTGGGAAGAGCCCCCTGGTGGGGGTGGGGGGAGGCCCTGTACTTTTCTGGGGGAGACCAGGTGCTCAGGACCAAGAATAAGAGGTCATAATTGATTGTTGAGGGAGAAGATGTGGAATTTTAAAATGTGCCAAGCTCTCTTGGAAAAGCCTTTATACTATCTTTCGTAATTGCATCATTTCAATGAGTTTTTTTTT